GTATAGAGCATAAAAAGTGAAAAAAAAATCTGATTTTTTTTTCTCAATTCTCGAACACCACAAAATGGTCTATATCATGTGATGTGATCAGAACATTAGAATGTGTCATCTTTGTCACCCAAATCGTTGTCCAATGCTATCTCGCTCCTCCTTGTATGTATGAATGTTACAACGGACATTCTATTCACACACAACTGCGCAATAAAAATTTGATTGTATATGAGATTTGAGAATAAGAAGTTTCTTCACTTTTTGTGTGTACCGAGCCTCCGAAAGTGCGAAATATTTATACCGTTAAGCTGCGTCGCATATCAAAGCGAAACAAAATTCTGTTACTAAAACAAGGCAGAACAGTAGCTAGTTATCAGCACAAAACGAAACTTACACATTTTGTATAATAAAAAGTTAATGTTCTTTATTCCTTTGGTAACGAAATATTGTCTCGCTTTGATATGCAACCGTTTTCAGTCGCGTTTCGATATGCGAGTAAACAATAAGTTGTTTTTATTCTAGAGCGTTCATATCTACGTTATTAGAATAATCGTTCAACTTTTGAGGGGATCCTTCCACCACGTAAGCGTCGCGCGGCGATCACTTCTCATCAAAAAACCAAAGCAGTCTGACACGAACATTCTGCATTCAGCTATGAATTGTGTTATTCTTGCTAATTTTCCAGGTGCATGGGATAAACATTTCCACTTCACACCATTGTGCACCTTGTAGCCTCTCTAATGTTGATAATGCACTTCCTGATGTCGTTTTTTATTTTTTTTTATATGCAATTGTGCATGCTGTTAAAAAACGATCCAGGTTTTTTTTATTCACCATTAAATTCTTGTATTTTATTTAATTCTCGCTCGTATTTTCTTATATGTTTTTCTTTCACGCGCATTCGTAGTAATATTTCATTTGTATTCACTTGTTCTTCGTTGTTATTTTTTCTTTCATATGTTTGCTTGTATGGATTTCTCATTTGTGCGGAAAAATTTGTGTTGTGTTCCGATTGGAGAACTTACTGTCGATTCATTTTTGGATAAAGGTAATCTTAAAATAACTTACAGCAAAATATTGTAATTTTGATTTAAATTACAATAAATTACTGTATCGCATCTGATAGCTAAGTTTTACTGTAACCCCTACAGCAAAAATAGTTTGTGTGTATATGCATTTCTGAATGGATTAATTTTTTGACACTCTTTAAGATAGAATAGCTGTCATTGTCAAAAACTAGTAAACATGACAATTAAGAGGTTAGTAACAAATGCGACATTTTTAACTACTACTACCTATCAAGAAAAACAGATAATAAAAGATTATAACCTAGTGCTCCCATGATAACATTAACATAAACCAATTGAACAACTCAAAAACAAAAATCAAAAATTAAAAATATTCAAAAAACCATCATAGAAGTAAAATACTGTGCTATTTGTCTTACAGTGTAATTCTCTGTCATCATAAGCTGATCGCTCTCTAACATTTCAACACCACAATCAGTATAACTATTTAGACAAGCTCAAAATGTCTAAGTTGACTAAAGGATCAATTTCCACGGATGCTTTAATTCAGATTATGAACAAAAAATCAGTTCGTAGAGCATCGATGGCAGATGCACGATTTTTGAAAAAAGGCTTCGCACCATTAGACTCATTGTTTATTGGTATGGATATGATGAGTCTATCAAGAGGTCAAGATCCTGATATCAGATATGCATCTATAGTTCAAGTTGCACCACCAATCAGAAATCTCCAAATTCCAATTTTCAAGCACAATGGCTGTTGCTTCTACTCCGATATCTAATAATCCTGATACATTGGCAATGATGGCAGATAACAGATCTTACGACTATATAGCATCCTTTGTAACTATATTTGTGAGTTTATTTGAAACAACAAAATTCAAAGATGATATCATTTTAGCCGCTAGTAAGATAGGAGCTGCAATTTCTTTTATAGAAGTTGAAGATATGTCTGAGTTAGTAGATTCTTTTCCAGAATATGCTCCGTCTGCAGTTGAATTGATGAAAATACCAAGTGAAGAACTACATGATGCAAGAACAGCATATACAAGAATGGGAGTATTTATGCTTCTAATGATTAAGAATATCAGTTCAGAGAACGCTTCCCAGTTTTTTACTAAAAGATTAAGAGCATTTAGTAGCTCTCTGGGTCTTAATTCATCCAACATCAATCTATTATGGGATCCTGATTTAGCTAACAATGCACATATCGCTATAGCATCATCCTTTGAATTGAGACGATTGCTATTCATGACATTGTATACAGCAGCATTTTCCACTACAATGAGATTCAATAGCTTCTTTGATGCTGTATTGAGCTTCTTCCGTTTTGGTGAATGCAATCATCTTGCCATGATTATTGAGTATTTGGTACCAAATATTGCGTTAATGCCTTTAGTTCAGATTAATGACAATGAAAAGACGTTGAGCACAGCATTCAAGTTTATAGAACGATTAGGAGAAAAAGGTGCATATGTGAGATTGATGTTGAACAAAAACGATTGTCATCCAATATTATCTAACACTTTGACCATATATCGTGATGTTGCATTATGCATTGCTCGACACAAACAAGCCAGTTTTGACAACTATATCCCTCAACGAGACAAGAATCGATTGGATCCTCTGGCTGAAAAAGTAAAATCGTACTTTGATACCCTGGATAAATATTTGGTTCCAAGCACTATTGAAGGTGCAAACACTGGCCTTCATGTCATATCTAAGGCCATGGCATTCCAAGCTTCTCTACCGGATACTGATGTCTTCAATTTGATGGATGAAGAGCAGAATGTTGACCATTTATCTGGCAGAAACTAAGATAAAGGATTGAAAACTGAAATAATGAGTTGATCATTTATGAATCCTGATAACAATCAATACCAATATCAATGACCAATAGTATGAACATTATGCATGATTATACAGAAAAAAATATATGTTATCAGTGGGTGCCACGGAGTTAAAAGTTGTAACAACTGGGTAAATATAAGGGTGGAACTATTTTTAAAATTTGGTGGCATGTGTCGGTGGCCACTTGGAAAAACATGTCTATAGTCTCCAGATTCAATGTATGAAAAAAATTTCAACTTTCTATTTGATATAAGACAGCGACTTGAAAATACAAGCTTACACGATTTTTTGTGATTTCCAAGTAAAATGGTCCTCTTTTATTTTCAAGTCGCTGTCTTATATCAAATAAAAAGTTGAGAATTATTTCATATCTTGAATTTGGAGACCATAACACATGTTTTTCCAAGTGGCCGCAATATTATGTCGAAAATGTTCCACCCTAGTAAATAATCGAAAAAAGAAGGTTTACAATACAAAACGTTTGGAAAAAACATTTAACGACACAATAAACGTCTTTCTCCTCCACTTCTGCACAAAAGTTTGACATCTCAAAGGATGGTTTACAATTTTTGGACAACAGTCAAAAATGTAAAAATTGTGCGTGCACATTGAAAATACAAGCTCATGATCATGATCATTTATTCGCTCATTCACACCCAAACAATTGTATGCCTTCAATGCGTGTACGCTGCAAGACCGTCGTCATTGTAATGTCATCAAGTACAAGAAAACGATGGATTGCGTGATACAAAAAGCAAAGGCCAACGTCAAATAGTTTTCCGTTACCAAACCACTTAATTTCGACTATAAATTTCAACGACAATTCAGCGTATAATATCTGGATGTGGTTATCTATAAAGCCTACCAGGAATTGGTGAAGTTACTGCGTTGAAATTTCTATTCGGTGACAAAGATCAATACGAAGCTATAAACCAAATTATCAAGCCTGTATACTGTACAGGTGTCCGATGACTATATTCAGTAAACTTTTTCGAATAATAAGAATTAATATGATTAACCGATCAACATTGGGTGAAATTACCAATTCATTTTAAAGCTATGTTCAAAGTCCTTAAAATGATTTGGCACTTTCACCGAATGTTGAACGGTTGACTTGGAACTTGTGCATATCAGTGGCTGAATTATTCTATCAATTAATAATGTTTTCAAAGTCGTCAATTCATTCAACTTTGAAAAGACTTCTGCCTCTTCACCGGTGTTGAGCACCATCCTGCCGTTACATTCAAATGTGGAAATGTAAATTTTATATTGGCATTACTAATTTCATGAATGGTGGCTTCAAGACGCATAAATCCAAAATACAGACCGACGAGGAAGTCATTGATAGTGCAAAAGAAGACGATGACGAAGCCACTGTTGCTTACGAAGGAGGTGAAAGTGTATCGCAAAAAGACCTGCGAAAAAAAGCCAAACATGCAGTTTCCAACATTCAAAGATGTATTAATTGGTACGAAAAACAACAAGATTCCAATCGAACTGACGCCGTGCTCCTTCAACTACTCCGTTTTTTCGCACAAAACAAAACAGAGTCAATTGTTTAATGTGCAATTCAAGTAAAAAACACTCATGACAATTAGATCAGGTGAAGTATTAATCTTTCGAGGAACTATTAAAAAGAATTAGCAAAATTAATGTCAAGTTGCTTCCGTTTTAAGATGATTGACGGCCGCATATAAAGAAAAGAATGCGAGTTTTAAAAACGCCAACAGAATAATCGAAAGATAAAAACTAATAGATGACATCTCTTATCGAATTGTTTACTTTAATTTTTGCCGCTTAATAAATAGTCCCAATCATATTAAAATCTTGTGCGTCAGTTGCAGAACTTAAATGTCAATAATTGTAAAAAGACGGACAGAAACACATGTGTAGCTTTTTATCAAATCTGTCGCCATGGAAAATAATTAGCATCTAATGCAAATAGATTTATCTTTCAGATACAAAATGGCGCTTTTATAATAGTGAACAAAAGTGATTGGCATGACAAAACCTATCGCTTTTGTAGAATACATCTTTTTTCGTTAGAGAGTGTCATGACAAAAACTCAAGTGGTAGACTTGAATCAAAATCATATAAATTGAGTTGCAACAACTGCATTCAGTCACACAGTCATTTCAACTTGAAGACTTTACACAAACCTTTCTAAAGAAAATGAAGCTCTTCCTTTCATTTTGCGCTTTGATTACGGTAATTTAATTATTGATCTGGTTTTATCTCATATCATTGCATGATTTATTATTTTAAGCTTGCCAATGCACAATTTGGTGGTTTTGGGGAATTTTTTCCTCCGTTCAATGGATTTGGCAACGGCCAATTTGGAGGCTCTGAATTCAATGGCCGACCAGCCCGTCCAGGATTTGGCCGACCACCGCTTCCACCACCATCAGCCAACCTCACTGTGACAGATGATGACCAAATTGCATGCATTATAGTGAGTAAACCCACCGGTGGCCATCAAACAGAAATATTTGCATTTAAATTTTATATCAATATATCTTATTCAATGAATTCCAAATATTTTAGACGGGACTTCAAACTCTCAATGCCTCAAATACCAACTTTAGTGACTACTTCGAAAACTTGATTACAATCCAGCAACAGCAATTGACAAATATCCAAAACTGTAAAACCCTTCGATTCTACGACGGAGTGTGAGTTTTACCGGAATTTCTTTTGGAAATAACTCTGTTTTATACAGTGGGCAAAAGTATCGCAAAATCTGCCAGATTTTTTTTCAAAACAACATCATCGAAATCACACGGATCAAAAGAACTAATGCACCAATACACACGCACACTGACTGCACATGTATTGCAAATTCTGCACTCAGTAGACAATCGTAGTTGCTTGTGCAAACACGATACATACACACAGAGAGAATCGGAGTCAGTGTGCTGCTGTGTATTGGTGTGTTAGTTCGCTAGAGCCGCGAGGTTTTGATGATGTCATTTTGTAAAATTTTCTGACATCAAATATACAGGCTTAAATGCAATACTGTTGCCCATTGGTTTAATAAGTATAAATTTACACTTTATGCAGGAGATGCGTTATTCACTTCCAAGCGGCTACTGACAAGAAAAACCGAGAAGTGATTCGTTCATTCTCATTTGCCGGCGTGAGTTTTATTTTCAATTTTACGATGGACTCTATATCTTAAAAAAAATATTTAACTTTGTAGCGTGAAGTTGTTAGTCAGATTATCAGCACTTTCAAGGACTGTTTGGGCATTACTACCTCCACAACCACTGAGGCGTCCACAACCACTTCAACTGCATAAATTATAGTTTAATATCGAAGACGGCATATCAACGGAATCAAACATTTATTTCATTGCACTATAATGTAGAGAATAGAAAAAGAAGATGCATTTTTGTATAAAATGGTCCCCATTCTTATGGGTAATGAGAGCTTTAGTCTTTTCAAAATGAAAATGTATGAACGTGAACCAATAAAAACCAACTTCTATTTCCGATTATGTTGGCAAAATAAATCAAAAAGCACATTTCAATTATTGGTTTTCATTATTTTATGAACAAATTTACGAGGTAATTAAATCGTATTATTATCGTGTTGACAGCGTACCAGTGCTATGAAACGCACGCTCAGTTCGTTTCGTAACTCAATACAGTGAGCTCTTTGCATGCTCAGTACGCTTGTATACTCCCTGAACGAATGAAAGAGCAGCTCACTTCTCACTCAATTCATACGGTGAGTGAGTCATTTCTCGCTCGCATCACATTATTTGTTAAAAAATAAAAACTGAAGAAAAAACATTTAAAAAATGTAAATAAAGTCGATTAAAAAAACAACAACATAGAATGATTATATTGTTCCAATTTATTTATCGAAAATTTATTTATCACGATTGGTTTACAAAAATGCATTTGAAAAATTAACATTGAAAATTATTGACAAAATAATTAGAAAATAGTTCATAATGCAATCATTTCAAGCGAGCATTTCACGAGTGAGTCGCTGCTCACTCATTTCTCTACTGAGTATTATTTACTCGCTCAATGGCGACTCAGAGACATGTCACACTCGCAATACAATGAGTTTTATGCAACTCACTAAGAGTGCTCGGTGCGATGCGGTAGCACTGCAGCGTACAACCTACGATATGTGACCGACCTACAACAATCATTCCTAAAAAGCTCTGACTTCGGAAATGTCCAGAAAATATGTTTAAGAGGTTTTTAAAATTTTAACCAACTGCAATACTTTCCCCTTAAAAACTAGGTGTGTGCGGAAAAATAACGTATTTTGAACAGAGGCTGTTGCTTGGAGCAAAATATATGAGCAGACGGACAAGGAGGAGTCCTTAGTGAGGAACCAAATATTAAAAGTTAAAAAGATATCTAAAATCATATCAATTACGGTTATCAATTTGAACAATTTTTTTGTATGTATGGTTAGTGCTTGTGCTACTCTTTATTGTACACGAAAAGAATTCGATTCACATAAATAGAATTGAAAAAACTACCGTTTTTTTAATGAATAGGTGGACTTGCGCCACCCCACACACTCATAAGATATCGTTTTCAAAAGCTAAATGATTTTATAAGGAAAAAAAAAATTGTGTACTTGCGTCACTAGTGTTGGACACCCCCTTATTTATTGAATTTTATTAATTTATTTTATATGTATGTATAGTTCTTGCGCCACCGTTCATTTCACATAAAAAAAATTTTTGTTTACATAAGCAGTTTCGAAGATAGAGCTGTTTGTATGGAGAAATAGACGGAATTGCGTCCCTTTTTTTTGGGAGTGAATTTTGTATACACATATCCATTCTAAAAATAACTCAAATTTATCAGTGAAATCGAATATGAAAGTGCAAGATTCGCAGAATTTTGGACTAAATTTGATACCTTTATCCATATGAAAAATTCGATTCTTTATTAACCAATGTATGACATTATGAATTTAAATCATTTATGAAGAATTTTTTTTTTAAATATGCCCACCGAGAATCGATCTGGTGCCCTAGAAAAATTTGTTCCATTTATTTCATGAAAAAAAATATAAAAAAATTCCTCACCGAGAATTGAAAATCGCGAAAAATTGAATTTTTGTATGGGAACCATGCTTTTATGCAACCTTAATGACGTGAAACTTTGCACAGGCTATTTTTTGTACAAAAAATGACATTCTGAAAGTTTGAAGAAATTTCAATCAAAATTAGGGGTTTTCGTTTTTGAGGAAATTTTGTATGGGGCGTTTTCCTACTTTTAATTGAAAAGTTAATAAGATTCACAAGTTCTTTAGGGTGGTTATATGTCGTCGGTGTGTTTTGTTGACTCGAAATTGATCGCCTTTCTTTCCAAAATTAAAACTTGTGGCTCTTATTTCTCCTCAAAATACATAATTTCACCAAATTGGAAGAAATTTCAATCACAAATAGAAGTACTCCCCATACAAAACTTTCTTCAGGTATCTTCAATTTGTATTAAAATTGCCTCAAACTTTAGGAATGTTATTTTTTGAAAGAAAATAGCATGTACAAATCATTACGATAAATATTGCGTCCATTCAAAAAAATCACATTTTTGGTGTTTTTTTCTTTCCGTACAATAGACACGCTACACATTTTGAAATATTTATACGTCAATACTTTATTAATTGGCCAAAAAACTTGAATGCTCTTAGACAATATAATTCGGTAGTTATTGAATTAGTACTGCACTACCAGTTCGGTAAAGGAATAAATTTGGAAACAGTGCGGAAAAGTTAGAATTACGGATGTAAGTTCCTTTTTATTTGTTTATGTTTATATATGCAAATGCAATAAGTATTCTAAAAATAGCAGCGCACTTATCAGTTATGTAAATCGTATGATTTCTGAAATATTTGAAGAAATTGTAATCAATTTGATCACTTTTTTATATGAAAAATTCGATCCTATACTGCCCATTATAATTTATTCGATTGCTGATTGGTTCGATATTGTTTTTTGATTTATGTAAACTATTTATGAAAGAATAAATGCTGGATAAGACATTTTTTGGGTATTTTCGTGCATTCAATTAGTCAATATAATTGAAATCATATTAGTTGATATGTACTAGTTAATTGAGGAAGATGCCGAAAGAACTACCAAGAAGAAGAATTCGCCGTGCAAACAAAGACAAACATTTTTTTGTATTTCATGGAATTTTCCGTGTTTTATTCAAAAATTTTATGATTTTCACTTGGTTTTGGTTTTTACAATTTTTTGAATTTCAACTTTATGACAATTTTTTTTTCTTAGTGGAAGTATGCCATTCGTCAAGCATATTAATTGTTCGATGTAGCGCTGGGATATTTGAATCCATGATGTCGATGGTGTCACTGTAGCTATCTCTCAAGCGGAAGATACGATGATGCACGCTTCCGCCCACATATCGAACCGAAATGTTACCGTTATCGTTACCGTTGTTATTGTTGTTGTTATTGTTTCCAGTAAAATCATCAGTGTTGTACAAATCGATGAGGAGAATGCAGATTTGCGCGAATTCGGTTGCAGTGAACACAAAGCTGTTGTCATCATCATTATCACGGAAAATCTTCACATAGCTGTGGTAGAATGACGGTTGCGTATTATTGATTGTTGTTTCAGCCATCGACACGAGAATTTGAACACCGATGGCTGGAATTTTCTGTGTTCGTACACGTGTTACGGAAAACGGAATTTTTTTAATTTTTCACTTTTTCACTTGTTTGTTCTGGGATTGGTTGTAGCCCTTATTGTCTTCACCGTATTTTGAATCCGTTTGAGTCGATGCGTTCTTTTTTATAGCAGATTGCTGCTGCGTCTGCTTACGTGACGAAGACAACGAAGACGGCGATGAATCATCATCATCGCTTTCGTTCTCGAGTTTCTTATAACCAAATGCTTTCTTGAACATTTTTGTGGTTGTTTATGTTACTTTCTTGATCAAGTAAACACACGAAAAGTAATTAAACAAAAATCAAAAATAATGTGTATTTTGCTGACGCTTCAAAACTATAATAAGTCGTAAACACCATTGCGGTCCGTTTTTATTTATACTCAATTGACATTGAATGATCTAGAAACTTCGTATCATATATGAATCGTTCAATAGGCTTTATCAAAATAATAGGTGGCGACAACTAGTTACTTATAATATTAGTTAAAACTATAGATGGCGCTAAATACTAAACCTGGAAACCTATGACTTTTTTTAAAAAAGACACTCAAGTCTACAGATTCACAGTTACTTGAAAAAAAAATTCTTTGCTGACATGGATTTTTATCCAAATTGAAGTACGTATTTTGTTATATGTTTTTGATGCGTAGTTTAAAATAACTATAAATTCAATTTATTCAATACGTTCGGTAGTCAATTGACAATTAAATTTCAACTGAGAAGCAATTAAGGAAAGTGAAAGATTTTCTTTTTTCAAGAGCAAAGATTCTTCGATTGCTCAAAGATTCTTCGATTAAAATTTCTGCATGAAATTCCGCATCGTTTACAAAATCTGCATGAATGAATTATGTAAAAAAAAATATCAACTTTTTTGTCAGCTTTATGTCTGAAATTTTAAACATCGATTTTTTATCATAAAATAACACTAAATTATAAAAATCTGCACTTAAATACACATATTTATTGTTTTCTGCATGAACAAAATTACATGTTTGTATATATGGAAATGTTGCTTGACAGCTCAAATGAGTGCGTTCAATGTGTCATATGGAGTGTTTTCAATATATACAAACATGTAATTTTGTTTATGCAGAAAACAATAAATATGTGTATTTAAGTGCAGATTTTTATAATTTAGTGTTATTTTATGATAAAAAATCGATGTTTAAAATTTCAGACATAAAGCTGACAAAAAAGTTGATAGTTTTTTTTACATAATTCATTCATGCAGATTTTGTAAACAATGCGGAATTTCATGCAGAATTTTTAATCGAAGAATCTTTGAGCAAAAACAAAATGTATTCCAGAAAATCAAACATGCAGCTCGCTTTATTAATTGATGTGTTTTCTATCCGCGAATAATAGTGCAGATTTCGCGAAGTGGGTGACTGTAATGACAGACGTAAAATTATTTGTTTAGTCTATGTCTAGCTGCATGGTTCAATATAGTTTTCTGACATAAAGCAAAAAAAAAAAGTTACTTGTTGGAGTGGCTCTTGGTCTATAACTTTTTTTCCACAAACAAGTAACAAAAAAAATTTACAACATGGATCAAGGATACAGTAAAGATCGTGAAACACTCAGTACATTCATCAGAAGATTTTATGAGTACATTTGTCAACATAAACGTACATATTATCAATCTACAATCTGTATATTGTTCAAAGTGCCAAATGAAATAAATTGCTATTGGTATCGTGTGACCCGTTTACATCTAACTCCAAGTTATGACCAACTCTCACCTTTGGATAGCATCGCCTGAAGAACAAATACAATCAGAACAAGGTACCACTCGTCAACTAACCCGTACTGTAGGTGGAATCAAATACTTTTACGATGAAGACGATAAACAGTTGTT